AAGAGAAGCTGGCATGTTCTGTAGGAGAAATTTGCTATGGACCTCAATACACAATTGACCCAGTACTCCGTGAAGCAAAAGGTGTTTGTAGCAAGTGGAGCAGTGATAGGTCTAGTTGCTGCCCATTCCAACAGGATGAACCAGCAGATAAGCAGCAACATGTGTAAGCAACATGAGCATCTCTCCCAACCACGTGAGCATGACAATCAATATGGCTGTTGATTTACTTCTACCCACCAGTCTTGTACAAAAATGACAGGTGATTCATCCTAACAAAAAACATGCAGAAGAGGAATTTTGGGAAATGTAGTTCCATCTAACTGGCAGACGCATTTCAAAATCACCACACTTACTGTTGCTTTTTATGGTCAACCCCATGGTAGGGATGGGAGGTTTCCTTCCCCTACCCCTCATGGATAGGCAATTTTTGCTTCTGCCCCTTCTTTGGGTAGTTGTATTTGCCTGAAATGAGCATGAAGGCTTCCAGCCTTTCTCTGAGGTAGTGGACCTTTGCTGAGGCCCTGTTTAGCTACTGTTTCCCGTGACTTCAAACTTTTGCCTCCCATGAGAGAAGGATCTGAAAAGTGAGTGGATTTTCATTTCTCTGTCCCATGGACATGAACTGCCTGAGATTTCTGCCCTGTTTTTAGTGTTTCTTATGAGTATTTGGTGAGAACTCATGAAAAACAGCTGGCAACTGAATGCAGCCTACTTTGCCTGTGTCTAGGATCCCAGATATCCTAAACTGTCTCTAACCCACATCTGGCATTTAAGTGTTTGCTGAATTTTCAGTTTTCTTCTTTCACTCTTTGATGGTGGCTCCCTCTTTGTCCTGTGCTCTGTTAAAGATGAAAATGTTCTGTGTTCTCTCTCTTCTTGGAGGAGTTTTATCACCCTTTGGTCTTGGCTATCTGATAAGAAGCCATGGGAGCCAGAGAAGATTATTTCAAGGAGACGGCAGTCAGCTGTGATGGCTGCGATGTGAAGTCATGAAAAGTATCTTGAAAGAGACCTTTGGTTTAACTGATAACCCATGATTTCTGAGAATAAAACTAGTGGGAAGAAGGGACAAAAGGGACTATGCAGCTGAAAGAAAACCTGACAGTGAGCTGGAGTAGGTACCTTGTGCAGATGACTAGGAAGTTTGGCATTAAGGAGAAATAGCTCATAGGGACAGTAGGGCCAACTAGACTGAAAAATTTTGTTAATGTGCTTTTCTATCTCTGCTTCTCAGAATTGCTACCTTATTATTTTACCTTGACCAGATGAAGTTACCTCGACTCCATAAGTCATTTTTTTTTAAAGATTTATTTCTGGATTGATTGATACATACATACATACATACATACATACAAGCACTGGGTACCGTCAGAAGCGCAGGAGGGTGAGAGAATTCACCAGAGCCAGAGCAGGGAGCAGAGCAGGCAGAAGGACCGAAGTACACTGCTGAGGGGAGCAGCGGACGGCAGGAGAGGTCTGTGCACCATGTGGGACCCTCCTTCGGTGGCCCGGGAGCAGCCGGGGAACAAACCGGCACCGCAGAGGCCGCGGGCAGCTTCGCAACCCAGCACTCAATCGCTGCACCACCAGGGAGGCCCTCCATAAGTCATTTTTTTAAAACCATTTTTCTCCTCTCAGACAATATAATTTAGAAAAGACTCACCTGTACACAGGGAGAGAAATAATCCTAAGTGTCTATAGTGTATAATTAATTTACTCCTGACAATAGACCTGTATGATTGATGGTATTCCCATCAAATGTAAAACTTTAGCAAATGTAAAATTAAGACTCTGAGGTTATTTTTTTGGTAAATAAGTTACAAAAATGTGTAAGTTACATAGCCATTTAAAATGAATAGTAGGGTCCTCCCTGGTGGCACAGGGGTTAAGGACAGCACTATCAAGCTATTGCAGCCACTGCAGCATGAGTTTGATGCCCGGCCTTGCCAGGGAGCTACCCACATGGCGCAGCAGACCTCTCCTGTCTCTCCAGCTGCTCCCCTCAGCATTGTATTTCAGTAGACCTGCCTGTTCTGCTCCCCACTCTCTCTGGTGAATCCTCTCACCCCTCACACCTCTGGCTTACACCCCAGTTCCTATATGCATAAACAAATAAATCTTTAAAAAAATAAATGAATAGTAGCTCTATATTCTCATTCAAAGATATTCACCCCGTATACTGAGTGAAAACACATTATGAAACAGAGTAAAATTATTTCCCATTCATTTATTTACAGACTCAATTGAGTCTGTATATTGAGTGCCTACTTTGTACAAGGCATTGTTCTAGGTTCTTGGGATACTTGTGTGAACCAAAGATTGTTACTCTTTTTATTAATATAGAATGAAGTGTCACAGTGGAGACAAATATAATAGGCAGCTTGTGCTGTGAGGGACTTGAATAAAAAGTCACAATGATAAGTAAATTAATTTATAACAAGTGTGTAAAATTAGGAGACAGTTCTCCATGGCTCTTGTATTTTCACATACCTTGTGAGCAGAGGTACTGGCTGCTTTGTTCTAGACCGTCTTACATACCTTGTGAGCAGAGGTACTGGCTGCTTTGTTCTAGACCGTCTTATCAAGGATGTTTATATAGCGAACAGCTTTGGAAGATAAAAGTGTTTCCCACTGGAGCAGAAGGCAGATTAACTTATTGTCTAGTGTAGTAAAGATAATGCCTCTCTTGGGTCAAAGATCAGGCAGGTTTACTTGATAAAAGATTTGGGTTCCCTCAGCTCAGGGTTTCTCAGCTGTAATTCAAACCCAATTGCATGTACAGTATGCAGGTCACTCCACATTGCCCTATGGTAATTGGGGAACAAGGGAAATCATTGTGTTCCTGCTTATACTGCTAGAGTAGTAAAATACTTTGCCTCTGTTTTAGAAGTCTCGTGTCTCCTACCAGGCTCCATGAAAAGGTGGCAGGTAACTTCTTAGCTTGCAAGTAGATCAGAATTTTCAGTTTTAAATAACATGTATGTGTTTATTTTTACTTTATTTTGATGGGGCCTCAGTTTTTGTTTTAATACACATTTCTTATTTTATGGAGGCTCTTGCTTACTAGTAGTGCACTTGATTGCTACAAGGATAGAAAATGTTAGAATTAGTTTGTTCTAGAAGCATATTTTATAGAATATTAGATAACAATCATTTTGATCTGCATAATTTTGGGCCAGATATCATTTTGATCTGCATAATTTTGGGCCAGCTATTTGTTTAAACTGTCAATGTCTTGATATACAGATTTCACAAATAACAGCTCTGTTTAGAAAAACTTTGTCTTCTATTCTTTCATGTTCCATTACCATTACTCTAGACAGAAATGGTTGGTGCCATGTTTTCAAACACAGATATAAAATCTTTTGGAAAAAAATGTTCTTAGTATTTCTTTGTAGCATTCTAATAAATTTTAAATGCAATCATTTTGTTAATTTGGGTACTCTATTTATTAACTCTTAATTTATAATTCATTAGGATTACTAAGTCTGCTATTGCCAAAAGGAAAAGATTTTAAAGAACAGTTTTGTGTTTGCTACCTTTAGCATTCTTTCAAGACTGAAAATCAGTTTTTTTTTTTTTTTTTAAAGATTTATTTATTTATACATGCACTGGGTACAGTCAGAAGCGTGGGAGGGTGAGAGAATTCACCAGAGCCAGAGCGGGTTGCAGAGCAGGCAGAAGGACCGAAGTACACTGCTGAGGGGAGCAGCGGGCGGCAGGAGAGGTCTGCGCGCCATGTGGGACCCTCCTCCGGTGGCCGGGAGCAGCCGGGGATAGAACCGGTGCTGCAGAGGCTGCGGGCAGCTTCGCAACCCAGCGCTCAACCACTGTGCCACCGGGGAGGCCCTGAAAATCAGTTTTAAATGGTTAATTATATTAAGCATAACCTAATCCATGAAATGCTTTACTGAATTTCTGTAGGTTTTTAAATTCTAATAAATTTAAGAACCACAGCACTCCCCCACATAGGAAAAAACATTTTTTAACCCATATGTTCACCATTACCTAACTATCTTACCAGTTATGAGGAAGAAGAAAAAAATAGAACAATTTGGCTTCAAGAACTTGAACTTACATTGACTGGCAAGAAAACACAACAGAGACCTGCCCCTTGTGACAGTATACGGAGAACATAGTCAAATTTAATTTTGAAATCTCCTCAGCCTGATTACTTAGCTAATTATTGCTCTTTGTCATATATTCAACTTCCTTTCATTGCAGCTTTTGAATAAATCTGAAGCTTTTTGGTCCATCTTTTCTAAAGATGACTCATTTCTTAAAGGAAACATTTCTCTTTTTCAAAGTAGGAACTTACCTATTTTTGTGGTATTCTAACTTTTCTGCTGTGATGGACTTTTAAGCTGATTTTATATTTTTGCTGCCACATTTTATTGTAAAATTGACTAAAATATTTTAACATTTCTGTAATTGAATTGTGTTTAAAAATAGGTGGCATTTTACATAAAACAATTTTCCACCCTATTTAAAATTGAAAACTCTGTCCCTCTCTTCCAGTCCTCTCTTACTGCCATCCTCTGCTTTATTTTCCCATGTAGCACCTTTCCCAAATGACGTATGGTTTGTTGCATTTCAATAATACTGCTAGAGTACAGTGATTTCTTTTCTATTTTGTTTTACTACTGTATTCTTAGTTCCAAGAACACCACCTCGAACTGAGTGGGTACACAGTGTATTAGTTAAGTGGGTGGGTGGGTAAATGGATGGATGGATGGATGAATGAAGGGAACATCTGGGAGTTTACCGTGATCCAGATGCTATGCTAAGTCCTTTCTATCCTTAAATCACTTAATCCTTAAAATAACCACATGAAGCACATAGGTATTCTAATGAGGGCTAAAGAGTAGGTTAATTGGTCCAGCATAACTCATTTTATAAACAGAATTGAATTAAGACTTTAATGTCCCTCATGCCATATCCTAGGCTTTTAACTTCCATATTCCACTTTTCCCAGCAGTAATTTGTATGATTTACTTTATCTCTTTCTTTTTAAACAGGAAGAAGAGAGTTCATCCAAAGATTAAAACTTGAAGCAACCTTGAATGTGCATGATGGCTGTGTAAGTAATAGTTCATTCTTTTTTTTTTTTTTTTTTTTTTTATAGAGGCATGCTTTATTTATTTGTTTGCTGGTTTGTTTGTTTGTTTTGTTTATACATGCACTGGGTACAGTCAGAAGCACGGAGGGTGAGAGAATTCACCAGAGCCAGAGCGGGGAGCAGAGCAGGCAGAAGGACCGAAGTACACTGCTGAGGGGAGCAGCGGGCGGCAGGAGAGGTCTGCGCGCCATGTGGGACCCTCCTCCGGTGGCCGGGGAGCAGCCGGGGATCGAACCGGCGCCGCAGAGGCCGCGGGCAGCTTCACAACCTAGCGCTCAACCGCTGCGCCACCGGGGAGGCCCAATAGTTCATTCTTAACTATGAAGGACTTTTATGTATTCTACTGAAACTGCTTTTGTGAGGACCATTAGTTACCTTCATGTCTCCAAATCTAGTGGTCACTACTCAGAAACTTTAGACATTGGTTGAACACATGTTCTTTCTCAAAAGATTTTTTTCTCTTGATTTCTGCCAATACCATTGTCTCTTTGTTTTCTCCCCATCTCATTAACTCACTGTCTTCTCTTCATCCTTGTAGCTGACTCCTCCATTTCATGACCACCAAATATTGGGTATGCCAAGACTGTGTCCTGGCTGCTCTCACCCTCTTTTCTCTTCAGCTCTAAGTTGTAGTATCCAATCCTATGGTTGAAACAAAGCAAAGCAAAACAAAGACAAAAATGAAAAACTTTCACCTCTCCACTTCCCCCAAAATTTCTCATTTGTATATCTAATTCTCTACTTCCATTACCAGTTGCATGTGGAATAAGCACTCCAAATTTAACAGAGCTCTTTTTATTTTTAATTTTTATTATGAAAATTTCAAATATACTTTCATATATCATCACCTGGATTTAACAATTATCAAGATTTGGGCACATTTTCTATTTCCTCTTTTTCTTCCTTGCTGAAGTAACAATATTTTAAGGCAAATCCCAGATAGCCTTCATTTCACACCTCTGTGTAAGCCTTAATGGACATTTTCTGTGCAACCAAAATCTAATTATATAATTTAGCAAGACTGACAGTGTATTTTTGGTATCTAATACACAGCTGATAATCAGATTTCTCTCATTCTTTAAAAATGTCTCTTTACGGTTGTTCAAAAGAGGATCCAAGCAAGTCCATATCTTGGTTGCTGTGCTTCTTAAATGTTTATTAATCTAGAGCAGTGTTCCCTTTTTGTTCCTGCCATTGACTTGTTAAAGAAATCAAGTCAGTTTTTCTGTAGAATATTCCACAGTGTAGATAATTGGCTTGTTTTCTTGTAATGTCATTTAATGTATGTGTATACTTTGTATGTCCTATAAGTTGAAATTACTTTGAGAGCTTGATTAGATTCACATTCAGCTTTTGAGGCAGGAATATTACAGGTGATATGGTGTGCTTTATATGTATCACATGAGGAGGCACATGTTTGTTTGTCCTCCTTTTAGTGATGGTCATCTGTTCCTAAGACTCAGGTGGCTAAAACAAATACTTGATTTTTCTCCCTTAATGAGCTATTATCTTTAGATAATGTCAAGTTTTTTAAGCTGTAGACTTCTGTATATTATCATTTTTTTTAATGTATTTTTTTTTTTTTAAAGATTTATTTATTTATACAAGCACTGGGTATAGTCAGAAGCGCGGGAGGGTGAGAGAATTCACCAGAGCCAGGGCGGGGAGCAGAACAGGCAGAAGGACTGAGGTACACTGCTGAGGGGAGCAGCAGGCAGCAGGAGAGGTCTGCGCGCCATGTGGGACCCTCCTCCGGTGGCTGGGTAGCAGCCGGGGATGGAACCGGCGCTGCAGAGGCTGCGGGCAGCTTCGCAAGCCGCTGTGCCACCCGGGAGGCCCTGAATCTTTTCATTTTTAAATATACTTTCAAATTTTACTGAATGCATTCTTAAATATTTTTCTAAGGGTAAGTGGAAAGTAAATGTTTCTTGCAACGTTTTTAGTATATCATTAATTATATTGCTTAATATTTGAGTGTTAAACCATCCCTATATTCCAGAGATAAATCTCATTTGATAATGCTGTATCATCATGTTATCTATTTTTGTGTATTATTTTACTCAATTTACTTAAATTTTGTTTGAGATTTTTTTTCATGTATATTAAGGATATTGGTCCAAAGATTTATTTTCTTGTACCAATGAGTTGGAAAGTATTTTGTCTTGTTTAATTTTCTGAAAGACTTGGTAGAGAATTCTCTCTCTTTTTTTAAATGTTTGGCAGAATTTGCCAGTGAAGCCATCCATAACTGGAGTTTTCTGTGTGGAAAATTCTAGTTATAATTCTTTAATAAAAATAGACTTATGTCTTTTTTTTTTTGGCATTTATTTATTTATTTATTTATTTATTTATTTATTTGTTTTGTTTATACATGCACTGGGTACAGTCAGAAGTGCGGGAGGGTGAGAGAATTCACCAGAGCCAGAGCGGGGAGCAGAGCAGGCAGAAGGACCGAAGTACACTGCTGAGGAGAGCAGCGGGCGGCAGGAGAGGTCTGCGCGCCATGCGGGACCCTCCTCCGGTGGCCGGGGAGCAGCCGGGGATCGAACCGGCACTGCAGAGGCTGCGGGCAGCTTCGCAACCCAGCGCTCAACCGCTGAGCCACCGGGGAGGCCCTATTAAGTGAATTTTAATATGTGTGTTTCAAGGATTTTGTCTGTTTCATGCAAGTTATTAGATTGGCATAAAGTTGTGTCTAATATACCCTTTCATATTTAAATATTTGTAGAAATGTAGTTAGTGATGTCACTTCTTATAGTCCTGATATTTGTAATATGTTGTCCAGCCCACTTTTTTTCTTGATTAGTCTAGGTAGAGGTCTGTCAACCCTATGTGTCCTCTCAAAAAACCAGTTTCCGGATTCAGTAATTTTCTCTGTTTTTCTGTTCTCTTGTTTATTGATTTCTGTTCGATAGCCATTATTTCTAATTTTTTTCTGACTTTGGGTTCATTTGCTGTTCTCTATAATTTTGGGGGGGAAAGCTGAGGTCATTGATATGAGGCCCTTGTCTTTCCTAATATGCTTTTTCTAGGGTATTTTAGTGCTATAAATTTTCTTCTAACTTCTGCATTAGCTGTAACTTGTACATTGAGATACTATCCTTTTGTTTTCATCCAGTTCAAAATACTTTCTAGCTTATTTTGTAATTTCTTATTTGGCTATCTGTTACAGTTTTTAAACTTTTTTTGTGTTAATGATTTCTAATTTAATTCCATTTTGGCCAGAGAACGTAGATTGCTTGATTTGAAGTCTTCTAAATATATTGAGATTTGTCTTATGGCTCATAAATAAGTATTATCTACATTAGTAAATAAAAGAATGTGTTTTGATGTTTTTAGTTGCTTCAGATGTGTTAGGAAATCATACTACTCCATCTTGCCTGAAAGTGGAAGTCTAGTTATATTTTTTGGTTAATTTAGAGATAGTTCACGTACCATATAATTCACCTGATTTTAGTGTACAATTTATTTTTGTTATATTCAGAAAGTGTACAGTGTCACTACTGTCTGATTTCTGTATATGTTTAACATCCAAAAAAGAAAATCCATCCCAGTTATCAGTCACTTCCATTCCCCCTCCACCTAACTGTTGGCAGTCACTAATCTGCTTTCTGTCTCTATAGATATGTCTGTTCTAAACTTTTCATATAAATGGAGCCATATAATATGTGGCCTTTTAGACTGGCTTCCTTTGACAGCATAGTGTTTTCAAGGTTCTTCCATGATGTGGTGGTGTTTCATTTTATGACTGAATAATATTTCCTTGTACAGATACTTGGTTATAAACAGTCACATTTTGTTTATAGATATTTGAGTTGTTTCCCCTGTTGGCTATTTATGAGTAATGCAGCTATGGCCTGTTGTGCATAAATTTTTGTGTGACATAGGATTTCATTTCTCTTGTGTATATGCTTGTGGAATTGCTGGTAGTAGGGTAACTCTTACTCAGTTTTTAAGGCTAAACTGTTTTCCAAAGAGCTGCCTATTTTGCATTCTTACCAGTAATGTATAGGATTTTCAATTTCTTGATGTCTTCACCAACTTTTGTTATTTTCTGAGATTATGGGTTTTTTTTTTTTTTTTCAGAAATTATTATAGCCATCTTGATAGATGTGAAGTGGTAATTCATTGTGGTTTTAGTGTTCATGAAGATTTTATGAAAGAAAACTTTCCTTCTGAAAGTTTCATAGTTTTGGCTTTTATATTCTCTTAGATCTGCAATTACTAGGACAGTACATTTAGACCTTTAATCATTTTCAGTGAAGTAGGGCTCCAGATTCATTTTTTTGCTTGTGTATATCCAGTTGTCTCAACATCATTTACTGAAAAGACTTTTTCACTTCTTTCTCTGTTGAATGGTTTTGGATACCTTGTCAAAAATTATTTGAATATGGAAGTAAGGGCTTATTTCTGGACTCTCAGTTCCATTCCATTGGTCTGTATGTCTTTGATAGTGACAGTATGTCTTAGCCTTGATTACTATAGTTCTATAGTAAGTCTGTCTAGTTTCTTTTTAGATAGCTTGGTTTTATGTGTCTGAATAGAATATAGATTAGTTAAAATAAATTTTAATCTCAAAAAGACTCAGACAATTCATTGTCAATTATCAGAGCCTTGTGTTTGCTAAATGGAAGTCAGTATTTTTAATAAATAGGTGAATATATTTACAATAGATAGAATCTCCGTTAGTGGTACAAGTTTTGAACTGTCAGTTAAGTGATGGCTTACTTGTTTTTATATCCATTTTGCTTAAATTTCTTTTTCACTTGCTTTTTAGGTTAATACAATCTGTTGGAATGAGACTGGAGAATATATCTTATCTGGCTCAGATGACACCAAATTAGTAATTAGCAATCCTTACAGCAGAAAGGTAAAGTGTTTAAAAAAAATCTACACTTTCATGAGAGAAAAAGATAAAAAAAAAGTTAGAAAAACTATTCTTTGGGAGAAAAAGAGACAATGTGTTGTTTTTTTTTAAATTTTATGCTTACAAAATCTAATAAACTTAAGTGAAACAGCTTAAGAAAGTGGGTTTTCTCAGTTTAAAAACAGTGAGTAGGTTCTAGTGAAATGCTTCATGACACCCAATTCAAACCAGGATATCATATTGAATTTTAATTATTTAAAATTATTAAAATTATTTAATTATGTTCTGATTTTTATTGGCTTTTTTAATTTCATATATATAGAGAAAATATACAACTTTTTCTATCAGAACATGGTTGATTGGCAGACCAAAGTCTTATTTATAATATTAGCAATCTTACAGAATAAATGGTTCATGTATTTCTTTTTTCCTTTACTTAAATAGATATTTAAATAAATGTTATTGGCCTTTTAGCCTGAAAAGAGGCTATGCTTGATTACAAGGCACATAATAGTTTTACTTCAGAAATAGCTTTGCTTAAATTTCCCTACTTAGCAGAGGGAAACTTGATGTTTTCAAGCCCTTCTTCTCATAAGTCCATAGTTACTAAGACAGCATTTTTCTTAGATTAGTGAAAATTTCCCGGATTAATATGTATGTGGAGTGCTTTTTGATTATTACTATCAGAATTTTAATGCTCACAATACACAAAGTATTGATCCAGATACTACTGGGATAATTTTTTTTTTAAAAAAAAGATTTATTTATTTATTTTTACAAGCACTGGGTACAGTCAGAAGCGCGGGAGAGTGAGAGAATTCACCAGAGCCAGAGTGGGGAACAGAACAGGCAGACCGACGAAGTACACTGCTAAGGGGAGCAGTGGGCGGCAGGAGAGGTCTGCGTGCCATGTGGGACCCTCGCCCAGGGGTCGGGGATTGAACCGGCGCTGCAGAGGCTGTGAGCAGCTTTGCAGCCCAGCTCTCAACCTCTGCGCCACTGGGGAGCCCTAGGATAATTTTTTTTAAGATGTAGTGCTTCACTCTTATTTTTTAAAATTGTGGAGAAATATACATAACATAAAATTAACTATTTTTAAGAGTTCAGTTCATTGACATTAAATACATTCTACTATCACTACCATTTAGCGACAGAACTCTTTTCATTTTGCAAAGGTGAAACTCTGTACTCATTAAACAGTAACTCATTCTTCACTTCCCCAGCCCCTGATAATCAGTGTTACTTTTGGTCTTTAGGAATTTAACTTATGTAAGTACCTCATATAAATGTTTGTACAATACTTGTCTTTTTGTGATTGACTTTTCACTTAGCGTGATGTCCTCAAGATTCATCCATGTTGTATCATGTATCAGGATTTCTTCCCTTTTTAAGTTGGAATAGTACTCATTTTATATAACCATATACACACATACGTGTGTATGTGTCTCTGTGTGTGTACTTGTATATACATGTATATGCACACCACATTACTCCATCTGTCAATGGCAACTTGGGTTGCTTCCACCTTTTAGTTATTGTGAATAATGCTGCTGTTGATATGGGTGTACAAATAAATACCTCTCACAAGTCCCTGTTTTCAATTCTTTTGTGAATAGACACAATGAAATAAATTTTAAGAGCTCTGTTTCTCCTTTATTTGCTTGTTTTAAAAAAATGACATCGATGCATGGGTCTCAGTACAATCTGTATAATTGAAGTATGCATATTGAGACTGTTCTTGATTAAAATACAGGTCATAATTTTATTTCAGCAATAGCCTTACTTAATTGTTTAGACTTAGTAGAGAAATTTGATATTTATAAACCCTGATTCTCTTAGATCTGCAATTACTAGGACAGTACTTTCCTTATAATAGCAAAAATTTCCTGGGTTAATGTAGGTGTGAAATGCTTTTTGATCATTTGCAGTTGATCAGTTGGAAAAGTGATTACTCTTTCTCATTTCTAACTTGAGAAATGATTAATCAGATAGTACTTTTAAAAGATTTAAGTGTAAAAACTTTGCTCATACAGTGGTTTAATAGACCCAAAATTGGTATTATATAGGATTTTTAAAAAATTTTAAAACATTGAGGATTAATTAAAGAGTGAAGTTTTTTAAATTTTTTATTATTTTTTTACATCATTATTCATTTTTAAACAATATTTGCTTCCCACTCCCATCTCAGGTGTAGTCCCCATAGAATTTCCTTCACCAGTGCACCCTTGCACCATCTGAACTTTTTGATTATAAGCCCAATATTATTTGTTATTTCTAGTTTGACTCTATTTTCAATCCTGTGAGTTCATAGGAAGATTTATTTGTTGTAAGTTTTGAGAGGCCTCTCTGCTGGCCCAAGGGTTAAGTCTCAGTGCTAATATGGTGATGGCCCATTTCATTGGCCTGAGTTCAATCCCTGGCCAGGGACCTAACCGACATAATGGTGCAGCAGACCTCTCCTGTCTCACCTGCTGCTCCCCTCAGCTGTATATTTCAGTAAATCAGTAAATCCACCTGCTCTTCTCACCACTGTCTCTGGTGAATCCTCTCACCCCCTGTACCTCTGGCTTATACTCCAGCTCTTCTACACAAAAATAAATAGAATTTAAAAAAAGAAAAGTTTTTTTTTGTGGGCCTCCCCAGTGGCGCAGCAGTTGAGCGCTGGGTTGCGAAGCTGCCTGCAGCCTCTGCAGCGCCGGTTCGATCCCCGGCTGCTCCCCAGCCACCGGAGGAGGGTCCCACATGGCGCGCAGACCTCTCCTGCTGCCCCGCTGCTCCCCTCAGCAGTGTACTTCGGTCCTTCTGCCTGCTCTGCTCCCCGCTCTGGCTCTGGTGAATTCTCTCACCCTCCCGCGCTTCTGACTGTACCCAGTGCTTGTATGAATGTATGTATAAATCAATCAATCAATAAATAAATCTTTTTAAAAAAAAAAAAAAAAAAGTTTTGAAACTTTGTGTAGATTTAAGAGATTGTAGATGCCCCTTATGAATGGCCTCATATATTAATCATATAAACATAGAAATTTGTGAAATTTTATTTTCCAAAAATTATGGGCTAGTTATCTGCACTAGTCTTCTCACTGAAAAGAGCTAAAAAATGGTTGATTAAATACTTTAAAAATTGTCCTAAAAGTAACAACTGCTTTGATAGTAGGGAATTATCTATTACCAAAATAGAAGGGAAAGGTAAACCCAGAGAAGTGAGCTCTTTTGCTCTGAAGATATTTGACAGTCTGAGCATCTAAATACTGTAGTTTTGATGGCTGTGAAGGTAATGTAGACAGAAACAGGTCAGGGTTGACTCAGATCAGGAGTGGATTCCAATAAGAGATGCCACACAAAGGACTACCTTTGCAATATATAGTTAAAAAAGAAGGAAGTAAGCCCTCAAGTAACCTCCTAGCACTTTCTATGAAAAAATCCTGAATATATAGTGTGTGCAAAATTTTTCTTGATTTGACCTCAGTCAAGTAACTACAGGCCTCAGAACGCAAAAAGTTGTTTTCTTAGTCTTGCATTTGTTAGCATTTTCCTCTCTTCATGGGATATTCTGCTTTCCCACATACTTCCCACTTATTTGTCATATTTAAATTGATCCTTAGTCTCAACTCTTATTGTGTTATATATAGCTCTAGCTTTTCCGAGGCAAATGTGGTCACTCCTTCGCTTGTGTTCTCATTGAACTTTGTGAATAACTCGATTATTATATTTTATTATATTATGGGTATTTGCATGTTGCTCAGCATTACACTGTAACTTCTTTATGGCAATGACAATTTTTTTTTGTTTCCTCAGCGCATAGTAAATTACCTGTCATAAACTTGGAACCCAGTAAATATTAATAAAAGGCAGTAAACTTATATTTTATGCCTTTGGGCTATAGATTGGGCTTAGAGAGGGGTGATTTTTACCAAATTAAAAAATTTGAGATTAAAAAATATATATTCTGTCTGGATCCTTTTGGCCCTAGCTTGAAGTTTTGGAAGGTTCATTTTATGACATGAGGAGAAAAGAGATACCTGTTTGACTTTCTAGATTAGCCAAAGTAACATCATGATTAGCAAAGTGATCATGTTACATCAAGTTCACCTTCACATTTGTTACTAATTTCAGTTGTCAACATGTCATTTTCATCTCAGGCTGTTACTCTGACAACTCCTGTCTCCGTAGGGTGTTATTCCTAAATGTTTGCTGAATAAATATTATAATGCAATAGTCTAATGAAAGCATGCACAAAATATTAATAAATTCACTTATATAAAGCTGTAATTGTTTGCAAGTGTATATGATTTTTTTAAAATCAACCTTACGCTATTTACCTCCAGTACTATGCATAAATGTATTGGTTGTATAGATTCAGTTTCAACAATTTAAAAATTTTTTTTTTTTTTTTTAATAGAGGCATGTTTTATTTATTTATTTTTATTTGTTTGTTTGTTTGTTTTGTTTATACATGCACTGGGTACAGTCAGAAGCGCGGGAGGGTGAGAGAATTCACCAGAGCCAGAGCAGGGAGCAGAGCAGGCAGAAGGACCGAAGTACACTGCTGAGGGGAGCAGCGGGCGGCAGGAGAGGTCTGCGTGCCATGTGGGACCCTCCTCTGGTGGCTGGGGAGCAGCCGGAGATCGAACCAGCGCCGCAGAGGCTGCGGGCAGCTTCGCAACCCAGCGCTCAACTGCTGCGCCACCGGGGAGGCCCTCAACAATTTAAAAATTTTAAATTTTGTTGAAACTACTAGCTATATACACGAGTACTTATTTAAGAGTACTGATTCTTTTTTTTTTTTTTTTAATTTTATTTTTATATTCCCCATACAATTGCAACCCCCTTATTTTGACCCCAATCCCTCCCCTCCCACCTCCTACCCCCTATAAAGTGTCTGTGGTTCATAGTTTTTGTTGATTATGATTTTCACTTTCTTATAGTTATTCATTTTCCCGATCCTTATTTAAGTTTTCTAGATTCCTGCTATGAGTGATTCTTTCGACGATTATCTAGAAAGAAGTGGTACAAAGTGAAGTTAACATACTTGGCAGGGGTCAGAAAATAGATTTGATAGGCTATATTAAGGAGCTTACATTTCAGTTTAATTAAAATAACCACTGAATTTTTCAGATATGCAATTGATATGATTTGCATTTTTAAAAGATTCTAGTATTCCTAAACAATATACTGGGATGTGCTCATAAAGAAAATATTTTAGGTTAGCTTTATTCAGGCATGAGTTACAGTTTTGTTGGCTGTAAGGTCAGTGTTAATGAATCAGCAATATTTTTTCAACAAAGTATCTCTGAACAGAAACACATAAGACAAAGTTATATACTGATCCACTCATGAAAATGTGACTAGAGAATCTCAGGAACCTGACCCTTAATTTCCCTAGAAGCAATGATTCAGTACTTGTTGTTTCAGTGTCTGTGGTGACTATAGAACATAACTACTGGTAATAATGAGAATTGACTGTGTATTATTATATAAAAATATATGTAATGACTTTGTATATTACACATATACACCGATCACACATGTACATAGCATATTCATATATCTCCTTTATTTCAAATATGTTCTTTATCACTGCCATGCCTCTTTCAGTGTAACATCACACATTTCATTTAGTTGTCTTATTTCCTTAGTCTCCTAAATAAGTTTGTCCAACTTTTTGTTTTTTCATGACATTGTACTGTTAGTTGTCTTCTTCTTGTTTTGGTATATCAGGCCAGTTTTGAGTGCTTCTCAATTTGCATTTGTCCGACTGTTTCTTCATGAGTATACTACAACTAAACAATTTGCTAAGTTTCCACAGGTTATAATAGTTAGTGGCACAAAATACTAGTTTATCCCCTTACTGGTGATGTTAACTTTGATCTCTCTATTACATAGATACATTTACCGTTTGTAAGTAATAAACTTCATGTAAGGTGTTATGTTGAGACTATTTTACAATATACTTTTAAAATCTTCATACACTATTGTTAGTATTACTTGATTCTTGCTATAATCATTACAGTGTGATTACAAAATAGTGATTTTTCATTCTGTTGTGTCTTTTACACTTATTAATTGCTACTATTCTGTAAATAAGAACATTTCCTTTGTCGCTACCACTTTTTAAAAAAATTACTATGAAATTATAGCTTTCTGTTTTGATTCAATGTATTATAATCTATCACTTACAATCTTTGTTGATGCTCAAATTGTTCCCGATTTGTTTAGTGGGACATTTCAAACCAATTTGGTGTATTTTGACTTACTCCTATTGTTTCTTTTTTTCTCTTTTTTTAAAGATTTATTTATTGATTGATTGATACAAGAGCAGGCCAGAGATGCGGGGGGTGAGAGGATTCACCAGAGACAGAGTGGGGAACAGAACAGGTAGACTGACTGAAATACACTACTGAGGGGAGCAGTGGGCAAGTCAGGAGAGGTCTGCCATGCCATGTCGGTTGCTCCCTGGCTGGCCAGGGATTGAACTCATGCTACAGAGGCTGCAAATTGCTTCATAGTGCTGTGCTTAACCCCTTGCATCACCAGGGAGGCCCTCCTATTAGCACTTTTTTAAAGCTTACCAGATATTCCCATTGTTTTAAATTCCCATTATAAGTACATTATGGAAATATACTGTAGTTTTTCAATCAGTCTATTTTTTTAATTATAAATAATAACCCCATGAACAGTTTGTGCGTTTGTGTATGTGTCTATGGTTGAAGGTATCTCTTAGGGTAAATTCTTAGACATAACAGTTGTCAAAGTGGGTGAAAGCATATGTGGCTTTTTGAGATATTGTTAAATTCCTCTCCGTTGGTCGTCTACTATTTAACTGTTGCCCCAGAAATGTTTAAGAGCCCATTCCCCATAGCCTTGCTTATACAGTGTTTTCAAGCTTTTGAGTTTTTGTCATTCTAGTAAGTGGGAGTTAGTATTTCAGTGTAGTTTTAACTTGTATTTCCCTTATGAATAAAATTGGATGTATTCTTACTTTTTCACATTTTTAGGGATGATTTGTATATGTTTGTGGACTGGACATTTACCCTTTTTAAAAATCAGTTTTTGGTGCTCGCTTTGGCAGCACATATACTAAAAAATCAGTTTTTGTCAGATTCTCCCCCTCTCCTCAATTTTTAAGCATTTAACCTTGTTCTTTATTTGCAATATAAGTTTCAAATATTAAATTACTTAGTTTATTTCTGACACAGAATTCTAGACTTATAAATATAATTAAGAAATTGGATGTTGATACTTTTTTGTAACCTCATCTATATGCCATTTTATTACTCGTATTTTATGATTCAGTTTATTTTTATGTCCTAATTCTAAACAAATTATATTAGTACAATTTCAAAAAATCTATCAAATAGTCTTTTTTATTAAGATCTATGAATGACTCAGATACAGCGAATAGGTGGAACTATGTATATTCAGTTTTCATGGCACTATTTCTTTTGATGATATTCAATCTTCACATCTGGGGAGAGGAATGAATATCTCTTCTTTCTGATTTTTTTCCTAATTATAATTTATAATCAGATAATTTTTTATTGAGATGAGAATGTTAATGAGAATTTTTACTGCCTATAAGTATATTAAGTATGAATGTTTTTCACTAGGTAACAGTGAATTACCAAGCATCTCTTTTTCTGTGTGTTTTAGGTTTTAACAACAATTCGTTCAGGGCACCGAGCAAATATATTTAGTGCAAAGTTCTTACCATGTACAAATGATAAGCAGATTGTATCGTGCTCTGGAGATGGAGTAATATTTTATACCAATGTTGAGCAAGATGCAGAAACCAACAGGCAATGCCAATTTACGTGCCATTACGGAACTACCTATGAGGTACAGTATAATGTTGATATATGTACAAGTGTGTATGTTTTTGTATAAGTTTATATGTTGTAAATAATGTGTGTATATGTGTGTAGATTTGTTTGTATGTATCTGGATATATTCAGGCATATGTAAGCAAAGAATTATTGACAGAATATTTAGTTTTCAGTAGAATATTTGAGAAAATGTATCTTACTATTTTTGGTAAGGATTTGTTGATTTTCATGGTCTTTAAAAATACCAACCTAGTTTCACTGATATGTGTTTATTGTTTAGTTTCTTTATTTCTGCTCTCTAGTATTTATTATTTCTGTCCAATGTTAATTTTGGGTTTAGGTTTTTTTTTTCTTTTTCAGTACATTAAGGGGTACCATTATATTGTTTCGAGATCTTATTTTTTCATGTAACATTTGTTGCTATATACTTCCAACACTATCTTATTCACATTTAAAGTAATTCCTGATAGGAAAAGAGGTATTACTGCCACTTCATTAATTTTTTCTACATGTTTTCTAATTATTTTATCTGTATTCCTGTCTTACTGCCTTATACATTTCATTGAATTTTTTGTAGTTTTGTGTGTGACATACTTTGGTTCCTTTCTTGTTTTCTTCTCTACATCTTCTATGGGATTTTTCATTGTGGTTATTATGGGGATTATATAAAAATCTTAGTTTTAACAGTGTTTTAAAATGATAGTGACTTTAATCACATACAAAAATTCTATTTCTTTACATTTTCCCTCCATTTTATGTTATCACTATCACAAATTAATAATCTTTTTGTATTCACTTACATGTTATAAATTAATGTTTTTACTTTTGTAATTCTATACCTTATTTGAAAGTTGTTTATTTTCAGTAATTCACTTCAGTATTACAGAATTCTACATTTGTTTTTATATTTATCTTTACCAGAGATATACTTTCATACATTTGTGTTGCTGCCGAGCATCTTTCTGTTTCAACTTGAAGGGGCTTACTTTAGCAATTCTTATAAGGCGGAATTTGTGGTGATGAACTCCCTCAGCTTTTGTTTATCCAGGAAAGTCTTTATTTCTCTCCTTCATATTTAAAGAATAATTTTGCTAGATATAGTTTTCTTGGTTCACAGTTTTTTTCCTTTCAGCACACTTTGAATATATTATCCCACTCCCTTCTGGTTTGTCATATATATGATGATTCACATTTCTCTTGCTGCTTTCATGATTGTGTCTTGACTTTTGACAAGTTGTTTATAATGTATCTTCTTAAGGACCTCTTTTTAAATTTGAATGTTCTTTTTTTTTTCCCTTAAGATTTAGGCGGTTTTCAGCCAAATCTGGTGAGAAAATTAGAATGTTTTCAAACAGAAACTCTCTGTCCGTCACTATTTCTTCTTCTTCTGTGACTCCCATAAAAAAGTGTATTGGTCAATTTGTTGATATTTCATAAGTTCCTCAGGTTTTCTTCATTTTTTTTTTCCTTTTCGTTCTCCTGACTTGATAATTTTAAATGACTCATCTTCAAGTTTATGATTTTTTTTTTCTGTTTAATCAATCCACTCTGATCTCCTACAGTGAAGTTTCAGATTTATTTTTATTTTTTTCTCTCCAAAATTTCTGTTTGACACTTTTTTCCAGTTTCTGTCTCATGGTGATATTCTCAT